CACTAATCAGGGCAATGCAAACGTAAACCTCAGTGAGATATCACCTCACACCTTTCAGAATGGTTGTTATCAAAAAACAAAGCAAAACAAACAAACCCAAGAGATAACAAGTATTGGGGAGGATGTGGAGAAAACAAGCCTTTGCATTCTTGTTGGGAACATAACAATGCAGCCAGTGTGGAAAACGGTACGGTAGTTCCTCAAAAAATTAAATATAGAATTACCAAATTGTCAAGCAATTCCACTTCTGGGTATATAAATGTAAAGGGAATGAAATCACTCTCTCAAAAAGATATCTGCACCTCCATGTTTGTTGCAGCATTATTTACAATAGCCAAGATATGGAAGCAAACTAGGTTTCCATCAAGGATAATGGACAAAATGTGGATATATATATAATGCCTTCTTTTGTGGCATATATAGTTAGGGTTAGGGTTAGGGGAAGTGAATAAAGGTGGTCCAAATGTATACTCTTCCAGTTATAAAATAATAAGTCATGAGGATGTAATGTACAGCATGGTGACAAAAGTTAACAATACTATATCTTGCATTTGAACACTGCTAAGAGAGTAGATCTTAAATGTTCTCACCACAAGAAAAAAATCTGTAACGATGTGACATGATGGATGTTAAGTAAATTTATTGTGATAATCTTTTTGCAATATATACATATATCAGATCATTCATTTGTACACATAAAACAAATAGAATGTTATATGTCAATTATATTTCAATAAAACTGGAGAAATATTATTCTGGGAAATTATGGCAAAAGGAAGAGAGAAAAAAGAAATGAGAGAGACAAGGGTTTTACCATGAAGAAGACAATAACGAATATTAACACTTTTTTTTTTTTTTTCCAGTACGCGGGCCTCTCACTGTTGTGGCCTCTCCCATTGAGGAGCACAGGCTCCGGACGCGCAGGCTCAGCGGCCACGGCTCACAGGCCCAGCCGCTCCGCGGCATGTGGGATCTTCCTGGACTGGGGCACGAACCCACGTCCCTTGCATTGGCAGGCGGACTCTCAACCACTGCGCCACCAGGGAAGCCCAATATTAGCACTTTTGATTGGTTTAGCTGTATAAACTAAGACAGGCAACTGAGAAGGAGCAGAGAGAGTGTGGCTGTGTCACCCTGTGCTCACCCTCACCACTCAGACCATACCAGGTGTGCTTGGGTTGTGTGTGCAGGATTATATAACAGTAAAACATGGAAAGAAGGGTCACCTAACTTTCTCACTGGTAGGGAAAAACCACTTTCATTTCTGCTAAACTTTTTCCTAGCTCTGCAGTTCTCAAATTGTTGATCGCATGACTCCTTTATTTTCTTAAAATGTATTGAGGATCCCAAAGAGCTTTTGTGTATGTGTGTTATATCTACAACATTTTCAATATTAATTAAAGTGGGAGGATGTTAAAAACTCATTTATTAATTCAATTATGCATAACAACTCCTAACCCATTACAGGTGAATATAAATAATACATTTTTACCAAAAGTAGTTATGTTTTCCAAAATTAAAAAAAAAACCATAGCGTGAAGGGTCACATTTAAAAAAAATAATAGTTTTATTGGGATAAACTTTACATATCGCGCAATCCGTCCAATTCAAGCACACAGTTCAGTGCTTCTGAGTGTATTCACAGAAGTGCAGATATGTCACCACAATCTGAGAGCACTTTCATCACACCCAAGTGAAACTCTGTACCCACTGAGAGTAAGGCCCCATCTTCTCACAAACCTGCCAGGTCCTGAACCACTGATGCACTGTCTGTCCTTGTGGATTTCCCCATTTGCACTGACCTTCATGTGAAGTCTGTTAGTCAGTCTTTTCCAACATTTAGGATGTCTGACAACTCAGTGGTGGTGGTGGTGGGGTCCTTCTGAGCCTCTCACCTGAGGGAAACTACCAATTGCTCACTGCCTGGAAGTGGGCAGTTTCTTCTCCCTGGCCCAGAACCGGGTTCACCAGCCTAAAAATAGGGAAAAGGGCAGTGACATTTACATTTCCTGTGAAGGTTATTTGAAGAAGCGGATGAAAAGTGTCCACCTTGTGAGTGTTCAACAGAGATGTTTATGATTATCATCGTTACTAATCTCGTTCTACTGCACCTCATTAATAAAGACAATTGAAAGGCTGGGAGTTAAAATGTCTGTTGAGTACAATCCAGCTTACCTCCTTTTTTTTTTTTTTTTTTTTTTTTTTTACGGTACGCGGGCCTCTCACTGCTGTGGCGTCTCCCGTTGCGGAGCACAGGCTCCGGACGCGCAGGCTCAGCGGCCATGGCTCACGGGCCCAGCTGCTCCGCGGCATGTGGGGTCTTCCCGGACCGAGGCACGAACCCTTGTCCCCCGCATCGGCAGGCGGACTCTCAACCACTGCGCCACCAGGGAAGCCCCAGCTTACCTCATTTTTATGCAAAGACCATTTATACCCAGGATAGAAATGTAGCGAATGGAATCTTTCCAACAGATACCAAGATGGAGAACACCCTTCAAAGAATCCCAGCCTTGGTGGCCAGTGGTATATAAAAATGTTTGGGCATCACGTTGAATGGGGGAAAGAGAGGCATGGAGAATTCTTTGGGGTTGAGGAAGGTTCTCACTCGCTTTGTGTCTTGAAATTTTAAAAGAATCTCCCTGTGATGCAGCCCAGTGTGGGAGTCATCCCTGAAAGTGACAGACGCTTAAACACCAAATATAGCTTCTGAATTCTGTGAGGGAAATGGGTTGAAATTTGTGAACAGTGCTAAATATGAGGAGAAAGACAGAATTTTATTTCTGTGCTTAATGGCATTGCCTCAGTCAGAACCTGTGTTGAATTTAGCTAAGCTTGAGGAAACAGGGATTATCAAAATATACTTGGAAAGGGGCCAATGGGATTATGGTTTGGTTCCCAAAGCCCCTGGAAAATGGCTGGGGCTAATTGCCATCTGGGAATCATCCTCTTTGGGAAGAACCTAGAAGAAAATACAGGATTCCTGGTAGCAGCTGTCATGATGAGGACAGGGTTATTTGCAACTGACCCATGTTTACTTTTTCCCTGGCTCCAAGTTTCCAAAGAGCCCACAGCGCCACCTCAGTGGCTCTTAGACTTGGAAATGTCCAAATTCCCAGAGCTGGGTACCTCACTCTCCACTCACATTCTCAGATGTAGTGTTTTTAAGCCAATTTGCTGAGCTGAGCCCATCTTTCTGGGAAGTAAGGAGCTCAAAGATAACATTGTCTTCTCTTAGTTACTCCCTGTAAATTTCTAGACTCCAACCAGAGAAAAAAATTTAATCTCAAGCCTGCCGAATAGGGAAGAAAACAAACATATTTTACACTGTTTGGGTCATTCACAGGGTCACTTAATGTATACTCAGCTGCCTGCTCCTCAGCCCCCACCCTTACTTCTCATTGTGATTATTACCTGACCACCATCAGAGAAGCCATGACTTAAGCCTGGAGGACCAACACATCCCCAGTTGCATTTCTCTTGCTCCTTGAATCAGTTCATGATCTGCTACGTTACCTACATAGCACTTAAATGGCAACTTGACACAGGGACTTTTTCTTTTAACCTCTTTATTGGAGTATAACTGCTTTACAATGCTGTGTTAGTGTCTGCTTTATAACAAAGTGAATCAGCTATACGTATACATACATCCCCATATCTCCTCCTTAGGACTTCTTTATATTGGGGCTTTGGGGGGAAAGAAACCACTGTTTTTAGAAAGTTTTTAAAATTCTGGGACATTTTGATTACTTTGATCTGGCTGAAGATCCCCCAACAATAATGCTTTTGGTATTATTATTCTCATTCAGGAAGAGATTAAACCCTTCCTGTCTCACACCCAGAGCTACAACTGTCCATATTAGTAAAACTCAATGTTTGTGGAGTGAATCAGGAATGATTCCTTGACTCTCTTGCCGCCCCACCCCCCATTCTTTCTCTTTCTTGAATGAATATCTGATTCAGTCAACTCATCTGAAGAAAGACAAAGATCCAATCAGGATTAACCTGATGGACAGTAGAATCTAATTATTTATAACTTTCTGATTGGAAGATAGTAGTTGAAAAGGGGGATGATGTGATTAGAAAGTTCTACAAAAGCCTCAGGTACCTAAGAGGAGATGCAGAATTTTCTTGCTCTGGTGTCACTGCCTGGGATCTCCAACAGAACTGAGGTCTGAATATCCTGCCAATCACATCAGAGCTGGTAAGTTAACAATCTCAGTTAAGGACACCCAAATCTCATCTACGGTAATCTGGTCTTGAATGATGGCATGCAGCTAGGGATGGCAGAGAGATTTTCCTTTTTCTTCCTTTTCAATGAATGGATTAAAGGTTTTTGTTTTGCCTGTAAGTGTAGCTTTGCCTTAATACCAAACATTTTGATCTGCACTTTGATGTATATCATTTTAAAATATCTTAACCAACAAGATTTACTTTTGAATGACAAACATCTATCTATTTGGAATTTTATTTCTTGACATTTAAAATATTTAGTTTGTGCACAAATGACGCTCATTTTAAGGGTATCTCCTTAATCTTTCCCAGCCAGGTTAACTGTGGGAACTGAAGATGGAGGCTGTGTTGGTCCACATAGCTCTCCTATTCCCATAGTCTTAGGACATTAAGTGATGGTGAGAGTTTGCCCCCAAAAAGGTTGGGGTCAGCTTTCAGGCTCATGATTCCCACCTCCCAGCAAGACATAATTAAGCAAAGAAATGGATGGAAATGGATAGGCTAGTGGTTGATATTTCCATCTCCATGGTACTTGTGAGACTCTTCTTATGGTTCCAGAAGGGGCAGAGCTATGACTTCGTGTCAACAGAGCCCAGGGTGGAATTCGGATAAACAGAGGCTCTTCCACTGCTGCTGGAGCAGTGACCTTGGCCCTGAACTGGTTCCTCTGAAGGGTAAGGAGACACATGAAGGTCTGCTCATGTTTGGCTTGAGAAGGATGACTTATTCCCTGCAAATATTCACAGGATTCCTTTTGGAGCAGAGTCAGCATGAGTGTCTGGAACCCACTCAGACTCCTGGACCTAGCAGCAATAGATCTGCTGAGGGATGAGACCTCGGTCATCTCCATTTTGGAGTATCTGCCCACCGAGCTCTTCCCACCACTGTTCATTTTGGCCTTCTATGGGAGACACAGTGAGGCCCTGAAGGCCATGGTGCAAGCCTGGCCCTTTGTCCGCCTGCCTCTGGGGGGTCTGATGCAGACGCCTCACCGGGGGACCTTACGAGCAGTGTTGGATGGTGTTGATGTCCTAGTTGCCCAGCAGGGTCGCCCCAGGTGAGTCTGATCCAGGCATCCTGGTAGAGCCCTAGACATCCTTGAGAGGCAGCTGGTGTCACAAGAGCGGATGGCCCAGAGGCTTCTGATGCCAGGTGAAGAGGCTCAGAGGCCTTGGCCATCGCTGACTTCCAGAAATGTAGGAGTGCCTAAGATGAAAGGGCACCTGAAGGAACACGTCCCCACATCTTTCTAGTGATGCTTAAGGTACTAGAAGTGGAGAACCAGGAAGGATGGAAGGGGAAACAAGATGGAGGAAGGTGAGGCGGAGAGGGAAGAAGAGGGCAAGGCAGCAGGTGATGTCAGGGATGAGAAGTAAAAGCTCAGGTGGGAAATGAGTGCTGCCTAAATGCTGAGACTGTGGTTTCATTATGTGTGGCTCTTAAACCATCGCTACCAATCTTCTGTTTCCCCACAGGAGGTGCAAGCTGCAGGTTCTGGATTTAAGGAATACTGGGCAGCATTTCTGGAGGATGTGGTCTGGATCCAATTACCATGTGCACTCAAGCTCAATGATGGCACCAGTGGCTGAGGACAGGTCAAGAACAAAGCAGCCGTTAGCTCTGTTGGAGGTGTTTGTAGAACTTCACCTCAAGGAAAGTAACCTGGATGAATTCCTCATCTACCTTATCCGGTGGGTGGAGCAGAGAAAAGGTTCCATACACCTGTGCTGTAAGAAGCTGAGGATCATTACAATGCCCACAGAAAACATCAAGGAAGTCCTGAGCAGGGTGCAGCTGGACTGTATCCAGGAGGTGCAAGTGAATTGCACCTGGCATCTGTCCACCCTGGCCGTGTTTGCTCCTCTCCTGGGCCAGATGAGTAACGTGCAGAGACTCCTTCTCTCCCCCATTCTTGTGTCTGCCTTTGAGGAGCTGGAACAGCAGCATGTTGTCCAAATTACCTCTCAGTTCCTCAGGCTGCACCACCTCCGGGATCTCCATATGGAATCTCCCTCCTTCCTTGAAGGCTGCCTGGACCAAATGCTCAGGTAAGTCTGGCCACACTGGCTGAATAACAATAAACACAATAGAATGTGAATGCATTGTCTCCTTTGCTGCTATATTATTTTTCTTTTTTTTGCGATATGCGGGCCTCTCACTGTTGTGGCCTCTCGCGTTGCGCAGCACAGGCTCCGGACGTGCAGGCTCAGCGGCCATGGCTCACGGGTCCAGCCGCTCTGCGGCATGTGGGATATTCCCGGACCGGGGCACGAACCCACGTCCCCTGCATCGGCAGGCGGACTCTCAACCACTGTGCCACCAGGGAAGCCCCAGCTGCTCTATCTTGAAGTGTGGTATAACATAACCACACAAATCAAGGTAGAGGGCTAAACTGGCAGAGAGGCTCTGGAAAAGGACACCATGGTACAGATTAGACCATTCAGATCTATCAATGGAGATTTTGTGATTTCTGCCTTAAGAAGAGATATCTGTCTTTAATCAGATGACCTAGTAAAATATGTAAGCTGACCTGAACATTTTTAAAGAGAAGCTCTGTGCTCACCCGTTTAGTGACCACAGTGAGCCTGTCTCAAATTAATTTCAGCAAAAGTTGTGTTGTGCTCCAGATAAGGTAATTAACATATGGGAAATGCATGATTCTGGAGAGGATGGTTAAGGAGCTGGAGCCAAAAGGATTATAAAAAGGGGTAGGCGGGCTTCCCTGGTGGCGCAGTGGTTGAGAGTCTTCCTGCCGATGCAGGGGACACGGGTTCGTGCCCCGGTCCAGGAAGATCCCACATGCCGCGGAGCGGCTGGGCCTGTGAGCCATGGCCGCTGAGCCTGTGCGTCCGGAGCCTGTGCTCCGCAACGCGAGAGGCCACAACAGTGAGAGGCCCGCATTCCAAAAAAAAAAAAAAAAAAAGGGGGGTAGGTGATTTGCAGGTGATGCAGGGGTGTAAGTGAGCCCCTGTAGACTGGAAAATCACAGTTGATGATTTGGGAACTTGTACAGGTTAGTTTTCTATGCTTATCACCCAGGACTGTCACTTGGCCTGAGATATAGGTGCTAGGGGCCCGAGCATGGACTGAAGGAACCTGAGTTGAAAGCATTTTTTTTCGTGTCTCCCAATATTAAAATTCAGTGATGCCACTTGGTTGAAACTCCGTGTAAGACTCTCCTCTGAGCATGTTTTAGTCCATGCCATAATCTTCATTCATCCTCATAAGGAAGTAGAGTAAATTTTATTCTGCTTGACAGATGAGGAAAGAGAGCTTTCAGGATTCTGTGAACTTGACCCAGTCACACAAGGAAGATGAAAGGACTCAGGCTAAAATAAGATTGGGTATTCTGGGTATTGACCTTTATCTGATGGTCAGAACAACCTTGACCTTGAGCTTTTCTCTCACCTGGAGTTCACCTGCCACTCCAGTTTTCAAGACCTAATTCATTGGTTTCTCTCCAGCTGCCTGAAGACCCCCTTGGACAACCTCTCAATAACCAACTGCCTGTTTACAGAATCAGACGTGACACATCTGTCCCAGTGCCCGAACATCAGTCAGCTAAAAGGCCTGGATCTGAGTGGCGTCACTCTGACCGACTTTAGTCCTGAGCTCCTCCCGGTTCTGCTGGAGAAGGTTACAGCCACCCTCCAGGAACTGGACTTAGATCTGTGTGGGATCATGGACCCCCAACTTGAGGCCATCCTGCCTGCCCTGAGCCACTGCTCCCAGCTCAGGACCTTCAGCATGTGTGGGAACCTCCTCTCCATGGCCATCATGGAGAAGCTGCTGCGACACACCTCCGGGCTGCTCAGTTTAAGTCAAGAGCTGTATCCTGCCCCTCGGGAGAGTTACAGCCCTCAGGGAGATTTCCACCCAGAGAGACTTCTCCAGCTTCAGGTTGGGCTGTTGAAGATTCTTAGAGACTTAGGACGTCCCAGGACCATCTGGATTAGCTCCAGCCCCTGTCCTTACTGTGGAGAAAACACATTCTATCATCCCGAGCCTGTTGTATACAGCTACAATACCCTGCCTAGTTGGTATTCTGCCTAGTTCTCTATCAAAAACTTTCTTCTGAGCACCTGGACTCTGAAATCTAGGCAAAGGTGCATCCTGAAGGGAAAACTGACCCATGGTTTCCAACATCTGATCAATGTGAATGGGGAAAGGAAAGGTGATCCAGCGAGGGTGCAGGATTGCAGGGGGAAATCTTGACTCAGGTAGTTGATGGGACATTCAGGAATATGTGTTTATAGAGTCTGAAATATTGATCTAAATTTCTGGAAGGAAGTTCAGGCTTGAGATACACATGTTGGAGTTATCCCTGGGTGGATGGCTGTAAATAAATGGTCAGAAATAAAGAGACCCCAGTGTAAACCGACTGTTGCCCCCCATGATGTATTATTCTGTTTTTGCAGTTTATACCTCAGTCATCTTCAGTTACTGGTTAAAAAAAAAAAAAAGGCACTGAGTTGTCTATAATCTGAAACCTTACCCTTCCCGCAAATTCTTTATTCTATCTGGGGCATCTCTTACCGCATTGCTTATTTCTGTGGCTGTTCAGTGGGTTAATACACACAACGACGGGAACATACTCAGTGGCCAATGAGCCAATAGCATGAAGAGTTCTTGGCAGGGTCCTCACTGCTGGCTCAGGCCATGATCCTGGACATGAGCAGTCCTCACAGTTCTCCTGGTGGGTTCTTTAGTCTGAGTTTCTGGTCTTTGTATGTGCTGGGAAAAAGCTTCACTACACAAGGCAATGCCCATGGTTCTGGAAGGTGTATCTATACAGCTAAGCTGAGCCTCTGGTCCTCACCAACCCATGCCTGTCATGGGTGCGTAGTGGTCCTTCGTGAATTAATCTAGTTGTGGTCAGTATAGACATCCAAATTCCTTTTAGCAAAATTTTAAAACCATGTAGGCATGTAACATGTTTTTAGTATTTTTATAGTGTGTTAAAAATTATACCATTTGGGCTTCCCTGGTGGCGCAGTGGTTGAGAATCTGCCTGCTAATGCAGGGGACACGGGTTCGAGCCCTGGTCTGGGAGGATCCCACATGC